TTTCCACTACAGCATTGGATTCTTATGTCATTGACAACGATGTCAGGGTAGACTTTGATAATGCATGATTACTACAACGGTGTGAGGACCAGGCCAGCCTAAAATATCTTGAACAGCTGGAGATATTTAAAGCGTTCAAGAGAGGAACAGCCATCAATTTTAAAGAAATGGACTTGCTGGTGGCTGCGTGGAGGGCATATTTTGATGTAAAATAGATTGTCATCAAGTTTACCTTTATAATTTATGTAAACATCAAATTTTTAAAATACAAAGCCATTTGAAAACTCCATTTTTTTAAAGAGCTACATTGAGCATGCACATATCTTCAAAACAGGCAACTTTTGAATTTTTGGAAGCTGCATTCTTTTCTTTAAAAATCCTGAAAGACTCAAATTCCAAGATTAAATATAATGTTTCTAGAAGATTGCTTTTTTCTTCCAACAATGTGAGTTGTCTGTATACTTTGATGACTTCAAAGTATATGTAAATAAACTTGTGTGATTGATTTCAATACTTACCTTTTTTTTGACATAAAAATGGAAAAACTATTATAGTAAGTTGCATAATGATTTGTCATTCTTTATTCTTCTGTATATAGCCAAACCCCATTATTATGTTATTGGTTTATGGAAATTCCACATTAATATGAAGTAAATTTTTGGTTCCATAGGCATTTCAATGATAATGATGATCACTATTTTGGTTAATATGTAATATGAAGCATATAGTCCATGAATTCAATGACAAAGTACACTGCTTTTAGCTTTTCCAAAGTCTCGCATACATCACCACCAGAGGTGTGTTTTTCGACTTTAACATAGCCACAATACTTATGATGTTAATGTTATTTTTATTGTCAATGCAGTATATGCCAACCTGAAAAATAACACACTTATAAGTTAGTTGGCACTTGGTGACAATGCTGAACAATTAGTTAAGACAGTTACATGCACATTGGAAACTGGAAATTAATAAATAGGATTGTGAGATTTCAATTAAAAATTTGTAGTTTTACAAAATAGTTCTTATTTTTAATTGCTTTAATAATGGAACAAACAAGACAAGTGAATTAGAATATTAAATACAGTAATTAGTTTGTAACTTTAAAATTAAAAATGAGCCATTTTCATTCAAATCCAAGCAAATAAATTATCTTTAAATTTGTGTTTGGACCAACACAATTTTATTTATTTTTAAACATCCAAACAAAATAAAACAAACTGAAAAATAACTGTGAGAAAATTTGTCCTTGGTCATTTGATGGTATGACGATTAATTTTTTTGTAAAATTTGATTAATACAAACTTTGTTAATATAAAGTACAAATATTTAAGTTCCTTCAATTTTGTATTTATNAAACATCCAAACAAAATAAAACAAACTGAAAAATAACTGTGAGAAAATTTGTCCTTGGTCATTTGATGGTATGACGATTAATTTTTTTGTAAAATTTGATTAATACATATCTCAAATCAAATTTAAGACAACTTTTACTTTCAAGCCAAAATAAATTTGAAATTTTATTATTTTAGATACTGTATTAGTACTTCAGCATTCAGTAAACAACTGCCTACTGTTATTATTTTTAAAAAGGCATTTGATGTATACCTTAGGTAAATTCTATTTCCATACAATTAATTTTTATTTATAAATATTTGTCTATTAGGTATTCTTTGAGCANGAACGGAGTCGTGGAACGGATTAAGTTCGTTAACCGGGGTTCCACTGTACAAAGTTCTTTTCAACTGGAGTATGGTGTGATTTTCTATTTCAAGGTGACCTCACAGCTTAAAGGTTACATTTCTCTTTTTATCTTGACGAAGTTTAGTGAAAAATATTGATATTCTTGTCAATGAATGTCAGACTTTTTCCTCCTCATTTTTCTCATCTAAATTCTTTAGTATTGGTATTTTTAAAAATATCAGTAAAATTACAGTATTCGATTCAAATATAAACACCTTATCACAGAGTAGGTATATTATACCACTTCTATCTGATTTTCAATCACGCAATTAAAATAATGAAAAGAAATTTATCGTCATATAAAATAGCGGTTCCTAACTTTTTTGACCAATTAGCAGCCCATTTTACTGAGTTATTTTTTACATTTTCGATGTCATTTCGTGAAGTAAAGTTCAAAACACACATACGCCATTTAAATTCAAAACTTATATATATTGAAAGTAAACGTATGTACAGCTACAAAGGTTCACAAAACGTCAGATGTTAACAAAGTTCAACACATTTATCCACTACAACAGGTCCGTCGAAAAGACACCTTGCGACGAACTAACTCTACAGTCATTTACAGCCCAACGAGACGAAACAATCTTCGGGGCCAGCTTAGGCGAACTAGAGTCAAGCGTGAGTTCCCTTCATGCGTCCAAGGCGAACTCAGACAAACATGAGTTCCATAGATGTATCCTAGGCGAACTAAATTTCCCGCCACAACTCAATCCTTTTATATGGATTGAAACCAAATTGGATTCCACCAATCAGCGCTTAGCAGCGCTACAAGACGTCCGCCGATGGTCCGATGTCTCTCAACCAATCAGCGGTCGAGTCATCAAAAGTGGTCCGATTGCCGTTTCTATGGCGACAACCGTCGTTCGTCGAAAGAATGGAGAAGCGCGGGAAATCGTGTGACGGACGATTCCATCCCGACATGTGAGTTCTTCAAACAATGGAGCCTTAATCAATTATACAACACTGTACAATTTCATGTAGTGGCCAAGCGGTCTTCGTTTCCTGAACACTTGGCGTTCGGTCGTGGATTAGCGCCTGGATAGGGCGTGCTTGTTTGTTTGTTTAGTTATGGCAACGCAGCATTTGGGCGATCTGCCTAGGGGGATGCCTTCCGGGAGGTCTTTCTAAGGAAACCTGGCCCCTATTTAGGCGTTACAGACATGGAGAAAAACCAGAAAACTCCATGTGGCCAGCACGCCCTAGCGGTGCTGGCCACATGGAGTTTTCTAAACTATTTTTAAACATACAAATATTGTTTTCTCTTAAATACAATCGATCTACATTATTTTAAAATTAATTTTAGTTTATTTTTTACAGTTTAAAGTTTTATTTATAATTTTTAAGTACTGTATTATTATTTATTATTTAGTTTAGAAGTAAGTTCCAGCTTCTTGCTTATTTTTAATATAAAAATTTTTAAAAAATTAAAGTTACAATATTAAAAATTAATTTTACTCTTCATTACTTTTCCGGCTTTGTTATACTGTATATAACAGAGAGAAAGTATGGCAATCGGTTAAAAACGAACCCCTAGATTTTTATATTTTTGAGTTCAGGGGATTTTGAAACGTCGAGAAATACAAAAAAATTCGGGGATTTGTTCTGTCTGTATGGATGTTAATGTATGTGAGTGGGGGGCCAATTTTTTTTATTCAAAACTTTTCCCCTAGAAGCAGTTAATAGATGACCCGATTATAAATCACTATAAAAAAATTTGTAATGATAAAACGAAGATGATATGTACAGTACAATTAAAGTAAAATTTACGAGCAAAATCGTGTGTCATATCTCGAGAAGGGTAGGACTTAATGAAGATTTTATTTGTTAGTAACATCTATACTTTTTCATAAAACTCGTGCCTACAATCAAAATTAAGCTATTTGCTATTTTATAGTAATTAAAAATGTAGAAAGTTTTTAGAACAAAATCTGTTAATAGATGGCGCCACACGTTTTTATTTAGTTTGCTTAATAATATAAAAGGTATTTTTTAAATAAAAACTCAATAGCCGGGAAACTTGCGCAACTCGTTGAAGGAGTTTTTTTTTATAATTGTGATGGGAAAAGGCTGAAGAGGAGTGCGCTTGACATATCCGCAGGACACCATACCTATGTAAAATTTCTGATATTCCTGAGTGATCTATTATAATAAAACTTTTCCTACGATTAAAAAAAAAATATTGTAGCTGATGTAGATTATCTTTGAACTACATGAAAATGTTAATGAGTCCAAAATTTCTACCTGATTGTTATTATTTCTAGCACAGAAAAGAGGTTTCCATTTGGATAACATTTCTTCAATCAAATAAAATTGGTGACTTTGCGGCTGCTGCAAACTCCAATTGTTGCTTTTAAGGGATGGGATGAAAGTACAGTATTCATTTATGTTCTTGTGGAATGGAACATTGTACGCAATGAGCGTAGCACATTAAAAATTTCTTTTTTGAGTTTTGGGAATAGGATTTTCAGAAATTTTATGGATATATTTTATGGATGATTTTTTATTTAATAATTCGAAAGATTATTTTTGATAATAGCAGGTGAAACGGAATGATTCCTTGTTCTTATATTAGTCATAGTTTTTCAAGAAGTTTATTAAATCTACTAACTACTGGACGTTTTATTTGTGATTCTACCAATATTATTATTTCATTTGCTATGCACCTTTCTTGTGCGGAATTACTGTTAATACATCTGACAACACTTGTAACATTGTGAGTGTTATTTTTGTTTTTGAATGTTGTTATCGGTTATATGAAACAATTATTCAACTGCAAATTTTTACTTTAAGAATAAAGCATAGTCTATAGAATATTATACTAAATCAATAGTAGAGTTACCAGATGTTCCCGATTTTCGGAAACTGTTTCCGGTTTTGTCTGCTTTTAATGTTTGCTTGTAGAATCAATCTTTGAATAGAGCAATTTTATTAACACGTCAATATAATATCATCAATTTATATATCAATAAATAAATAAATTTTAAAACAATAACCAAAATTTAGTCAGTCATTTTTTACTGATTCTGAAATCGGATCGGTGTAAATGTCATGGTCATACCAATAGACTCAGGTTTAATCGCATAGTGATCAGGTCATCGTTATCGGCATGAAAGACTGTGCGAATTTTTATTTATGAAATGCAACTACAAAAAACTGGAAATTAATAAATTATTAATTTTTTAAAGTGTTTTAAACTATTTGTGAATTTAATTTAAAAAGTTATTCTTTATTAGATAACAATATTAATTTTAATTTTTGACCTGGCAGTACTGTCCGCTCCATAATCGCAGTTGCGGTTGCTGTATTTGTGCAAGTAGAAATTAGGAAACGAAGAGTTTAATTACAATACAAAAATGGTTTCTTCCAGTATAAAAGATCTCAAACGGCTTCTGTGTTTACATCATATTACAAATATTATATTGGCTGTATCTTACGTCGTTACAAAAACAATGCAGCCTTTTTGTACATTTTTGCATCCTGCTTCGGGTTGTGAATTAGATTTTGTAAGTTTTTATTGCTATATTTTTGTATAATATTTATAATTACATTCATAAAAGTAAAATTGGATCTATTTAAAAATTCCGATCAAAATGAATATTTTTTAAATTCTAATATTCTGGGAAAATGCTTAATGAGGTTATTAGAAAGTATTTATTTTTTCAGTGGAGTAACTATTAATATTCAACCGAAAATACATTGGCTCTTTACATGTAAACAACATATTTTTAAGTACTCGATATTATGCAATTATTTAAAACATGAGCATCTGTAGAGGAGGGAAAATGAGAAACTTGCCCCTCCCAAGGATCGAGTAAAATATTCCACAAATTATGGTAAGATGTGAACTCTGGATGAGGGATTTGCCACCTTCTGGAGTTAGTCCTTTCTTGTACGAGTAAAAAAGTCAATAGAAACATACCTATATGTGTGACCCTTTTCTAGGTATTTGCCTCCAAAGGTCAGTTTTTACCATTAACTGGTATACTGTCTATGTGTGTGTCCTGGAAGTAGGCTGATTTCGGGGGGGCTGTATCTCATGAAGGATAGTTCCTTTGACCTCTTTGCTGCTATGAGTATGGTCAACAGCTCGCTCTGATAGGGTCTCAACCATCTCATTCAGAGGTGTAATTGTACATAAACAATAGTCATAAAAGTAATTGAGATATGTAACCTTATATCCTCAGCCATGGGGCACTTTGTGTGTCTTTTTGTGTCAATGCAATACTATATTTCAGTGGCGTATGGTGACATTTGATGATAGGGAAGTTGTGCTGGCCCAGGATAGAATCATTGGAAGTATTATACGATATTTTGGTGTATAGCATCCACCAGCTAAACTGTGAGGTTGATGCTCTGTAAAGTGCATGCACAAATGCTTATAATCTGGCTGCTCTACATGATTCAGATATTTTCACCATGGAAGCTGTCCCATATTCCACAATAGAGCGCTTTCATTGGGAATGTGCATATATGATTTTTTCACATATAGCATAGAAATTTGTAATAAGATACATAATGCATTTATAATAAAATATTAATTTTAATTAATTCAAAGTATATTAAAATATGAAAATAATTGCACAATATTGATTTATATTTTAGAAAATACAAGGGAACTGGTGCTTTCATGGATGGCATTCCACTGCTAAATTTTATAATCTGTATGTGAAAAAACCTAAAAAATTAAATAAATAAAATTAAAATTTATTGATGCAATTATTTCTCTCCAAGATTTGTTTCCTAGGAAATTTTTTGCAGATGCCCATGAGTTCAAAATATATTCTGAAATTATAATTTAACATTATATATGTTTAAAAAATAATTAGGACAATTGATTCAAATTTTGATTAATGATAAAAATTAAGGTATAAATTCTTAGCATATTTATTTAGCAATATAGCATATGACATAAAAATTTAGAAAATTTTATTAGTCATTTGCATTGATATATTACTCTTGTATGGTTTTGAAATTGACTATTTAGAATTGATTCTGAAATTTGGTCATAGATATTAGTGATATTGAGACTTTTCCTAAAGTCATCAATAGCTAATTGAGGAAGGTATAGTATTGTCATTACTGAGTTTCTTTAGGAAAATTTCGTTGAGCTTATCACCACTTAGATATGGTGAGCTTGATAACAATTCATGAGATGTGTGTAGAGTTGCTAACCTTTTTGTACAAAAAAAAAAGAAAAGACATTGCATAGACATTGTACAACAGAGAATGTAATAAAGTAGCTTGTTGTAAATATTTTTTGCATAACTCTAAATTATAAAACATTAACTAGAGTAAATATGGTTTTAAACTCAATGCTAGAATTATTACTGTTGCACATCATTCAATTAAGTCCCTAAATTTTACTTGTTTGTCTGACTTTGATGAATAGTCTTTCTCTTTATGTTAAACTAGTGAGCGAGAACAAGGAAACTATTATTTTAGAATAAGAAAATAAAATAGTACATCATCATCTGTTGGTAATATTTTAGAGATAATCTATACTAATATTATAAAGAGGTAAAGTTTGTAAGTTTGGATGTAGGAGGTAATCTCCGAAACTACTCATCTGATTTCAAAAATTTTTTCGTCAATATTTAGAATGGACCTTCAGGGTGGACATAGGCTGTATATTATTCCATTAAACATTCATATAAATTAAAAGATATCATCCAGGTAAGCATTATATTTTTGGTGTTGGCGGGTGGCAAGGGACAAGACATGAACATATATAAGATAATTGCGCAACACAGTCGTATGGTTGGCTAGATATGCAGTGCACGTGTCCGAACTTGTAGTATATAAAGTTGACACGGGAAACACATGCACATAAGTTTGCTTTATTCGTACTCTTAGTGTTAATGTTTGAATTTATATTTATGAATGATTCGAGAAGATCCAACTTATTTTTTGAATTTAGTAAACTAGAAGAACCCAGAAGGGGTTACGAAAACGTTCGTTATTTATCACTTAGTGATACTACGCACTGGTTAGTGGTTGCTGTGAATCTTAATTATCATTATCCCAGTGTGGTAAGCAGATATCTAAAAATTTTCTAATTAGTCTTGGAAGAAGGGGAACCTAATTCTTGCACTTGGTGAAAACGGGTAAGATCGGCTATAATCTAATGATCTGAATCTTTGCTATCGGTTTTGTTTGAGCAACACCGGGCTCATCTGCTAGTAAAGCATAAAGTTAAACAAACAATTAAAATTGTACTTAAAAAAGATTGGACAATGATACAGTTCAATGGGAGATGATTAGCAACTCTAGACATGTTACCACTCATTACTTATACTGTAAGCCTTTATGAATGCTTTTGGAGAATACAATGATTAGGAAAACTCTCATTATGTATTTTGAAAAGATCACTTTTCATTTGTATTCCACATTTTCTGTTTTTATATATCTTCATAACAAAGATAGTTACACTATATATGTCATTGAAAAATTTATTTATATTTAATTATTTATTTATTTTATACACAATTTGAAATTGCCAGACAGCAGATGATATCCACCCTTAATTCATGAAAATCCCAACAGTGAAGTACAGTTAAAACCAAAAAAATAACAAAAAATAAAAAACATGATTTATGTAAAAACTTGGTATATGTTAATCCATAAATATTTCAACATTTAAAAATTCATAATAAAAAATATAGTGAAGACAATAATTGGCATTACACTTTTTCTTCACACTAACCATTTAATAAGACAAAGTGAACATTACATTAGAGGTATTCTCCACCAATGTCTATGCACTGTTACTGTTATTCAGTCAGTTTCATATTACTGCAGCAAACCATTCTTTGGCACCAACTCTGGATAGCTGACTGAAGCTTGCTGTTGGAGAACTTCTCACTGCACACTGCCTTTTTCATTGTGCCAAACAGAGCATAGTTACTAGGCACAAGATCTGATAAATATGGTGGATGATGCAGTATGGTACACTAAAATTTAGGGACTCAATTGGATGACATTGTGCAACAGTGATAATTCTAGTATTGAGTTTAAAACCATATTTATTATCTAGTTAATGTGTTAAATATAATTTACAGTTATGCTAAAAATATTTACAATAATATAAATTTTCGTCTACAAGTATGTATCTTCTAATATCAGGACTTATTATACTGGCTTTACTGATAATGCTACAGAGTTTCACAGAAAACAATTTTTTAGGTATATTAAATTAATCAGGTATATTAAATAAAATAAAAAATTGTTTTCTGTGAAACACTGTAGAGTTTCACAGTAGCATTATCTGTAAAGCCAGTATAATAAGTCCTGATATTAGAAGATACATACTTGTAGACGAAAATTTATATTTGGGTAAGTCAAGGACATTGAGGCATTTTAATTAAATATTTACAATAAGCTACTTTATTACATTCTCTGTTGTACAATGTCTGTGCACTGTGGTGACCGATGTGGCCAAGTATTATTGTGTAGGAAAAGCACATCATGTCCCATTTCCTGGGATGAAGTTTCTGCAATGTCTTTTAGTACTGGTCATTGTTGATGCTCTCACTGGGGGCGAGCAAGCCAACAGCAAGATCCCCTTCTGATCCCAGAATTCAGTCATCATTTGTATTTTGATGAACATTCCTAGCCATGGCTTCCTAGATTGAAGGCTCCTTGCATGTTTTCACTCCCTGGACTGGAGTTTGTTCCAGCATTTTGTGCTAGAACCATGACTCATTGCCTGTGACCAGACACTCAAAGAACTTGACCAGATCTGTGCTGTACAGATTCAGCAACTGTTGGCATGTCTCCATATGCCACTACTACTGCTGAGTGGTGAGACAATGTGGAACTCATTGTCTACAGATCTTTTTCATCTTTAAATCCTAATGGATGATGGGATTCCATGTGAGAGATCTGTTGCATCCTCCAGTTCATTAAATGTGATCCTCCTGTTCTCCATTATCAAGTTAGGTATGTGCTAGATGTTATCTGGGGTTGTATTCTGGTCACTGTCTCTGATATCTCATCTCTCACAAGCTGGTCGCTGATTGGTTAATCATTTGTATTAGCCAATCAGCGACCGGCTTGTGAGAGACGAGAGACCAGAGATGGCCCCTGGTTTGCATGCACCTGCCAGCCACCTACTGCTTTTGCCTTTTTGACAATCCTTGCTGCTTTTGAACTGTGATATCCAGCAAAGTTTGGTTCTGAGACCTGGTATGTTGTTCCCACACACAACTGCTAATCTTGTATAGCTGTCCAATGCACCACTCTTTCACCTCACAGAAACCATACTGTTTATTGTTGTCCATCACTACCTGCTTTTACGTTTTCTCCACCTTGTTCATGAACTCATTTGTACACCAACATGAATGACTTAGCACCTTTTTTCTTTGCAATGCATCGACATCTATCAGCAACTAGTGCCTCTGTAGTCTGCATGCGTGCACTCACACACACACACATTTCAAACTGCTACTTTTCTAGAATTATGCAGAGGTGCCAATCATTTTTGAACAACTGTAATATAATAAAT